GAATCCGATCCCTTCATTTCCATTGATGAGCCAAGGTTAGCCAATGCGTCTGCTTCTGCATTTTCTTCCCTGGGGATGTGCGTAATTGACAACTCCTAGAATCGAGCAAGCGTGCCTGATCCTTCACTACGTATTGTTGCATGCGCTCATCTTTGGCTTCGAAGATCCCGTAGACCTGATTTACCACCAGCTGGGACTCGCATTTGATATCTATGATCTCGGAATCTAGTCCTTGGACTAATTCGATTCCTGCAATCAAAGCTTCATACTCTCTTTCATTTTTAGTCAAAGGAAACGTTCTTAAGACTGAAATCGGCCACAAATTTAGCCAAAACTTGTGACTTAATCGTAGTCGTAGGTTTATATTCTATGTCAAATTCACTCATTTTGATATTTCATTTGGCCAACCTACCCGAAAGTTCCGGTTTATGAAGGATATTTTGCAGGGGAAAGGTGGCCACCACAGCTATAGGGTGACATTGGAAGTAAGGCCTTAGCTTTCGAGTTACGACTACGAGAGCTAAGGCCAGTTTCTCCAAATGTGGGTAGCGATTTTCTGCTCCCGTTAAAATTCTACTAACATAATAAATGGTAGATTGCATACCTTCGTCCTCATGGACTAAAATAGTGCTTACTGCTACTTCCGAGACTGCTAGGTAGATTAACAATTTTTTGCCTTCTTCTGGCTTCGATAGTAACGAAGGGCTTGATAAGTACCTTTTCAAATCCCTCAAAGCCTGCTAGCATTCCGGAGTCCATTCGAAGTCGTTATTCTTTTTGAGTAGCGCAAAGAAACGGTGACACTTCTCTTATGACCGGGAAATGGACCTGCTCAAAGCGGCCAATCTCCCTTTGAGCCTTTGAACTTCTTTTATGCTTGATAGCTGGTCCGGGATGTCTTTAATTTTATCGGGGTTTACCTCAATCCCCCTTTGTGATACCAGAAATCCTAGGAACTTGCCGGAGCTGACCCCAAACGCGCACTTCTTGGGATTAAGCTTCATGTTATGCCTCCTTAGGATGTCAAAAGTTTCTTGCAAGTTCTTAAGATGGTCACCTTCGTTCAAAGACTTAATAATCATATCGTCTATATAAACTTCCATGGTTTTCCCTATCTTTTTTCCAAACATCTTGTTTACAAGCCGCTGATAAGTGGCTCCGGCGTTCTTTAGCCGGAAGGGCATCACATTATAGCAATATGTGCCAAAATATGTTATGAGCGAAGTTTTTTCTTGATCTAATGGGTTCATCTTAATTTGGTTGTACCCAGAATAAGCATCGAGGAAACTCATTAATTCGTGCCCGGTAGCCGCATCAATCATTTGATCGATGTTTGGCAGTGGGAATGAGTCATTTGGGCAAGCCTTATTCAAGTCCTTATAGTCTACGCACATGCAAAATTTATTGTTCTTCTTAGGAACTACTACTACTACGTTAGCTAGCCAGTCCGGATATTTTACCTCTCAGATCAAACTGATATCAAGTAGGTGATCTACCTCTTCTTTGACGAATTTATTTCTGGCCTCGGCAATAGGACGTTTCTTTTGCCTTACTAGAGGGATGCTTGTATCCAAAATTATCTTGAGTACGACAACTTTCGTCGGGATACTTGTCATATCTGCATACGACCACACAAAACAATCGACATTAAATTTAAGAGGTCGAGAAGGTAACCCCGTTAATATCGTTCCCCCTGAATATCATGTTGATCGTCTGGCGCGGGGGATCTTATCCTGATTTTGAGAGCTCCGTGTTATCACGGTTGTGACCGTAATTGTTTTTGGTCGGGTCACTCAAGAATTCCCTAAGATGGCCATTTTTTAGTAGTGTCGCCACCTCTTCACGCAGATGTCGGCAGTCTCCAGTCCGGTGGTCGTTCGTCCCGTGGTACTTCCAACATAAATTTGGATCCCTCTGGCTGGGATAGTACCTTATCGACTTCGAGAACCGTGCTTCTTTAATGTTCCTCATACCCGACACAAACTCTAATACACCGACGTTGAAGTTGTATTCTGAAAATCTGGGATAGGAAGGATCTCGAGAACCTGATGTTTCCTTGTCCTGTAGCAATCTGTTGTTTCGACCGTGATCAGTTCTGCTATCAGTAGCAAACATGTCTTCCGTTCGGAAACCTCTGTCGCGTCCTTCGGCTCGTTCATAAAGCAAAATCGGCCCCTTGAAGACTGTTTATCTGTGACGAAATCGTCTTTTGATTTCTCTTTATTCTTCTCCCGAACCTTAGCTGAAACCGGGAAGCTGAGCTGGTCATCCTCAATCCTTATCTTTGACTTGTACCGGTTGTGAACATCCGCTTAAGTCGTCGCTTGGAATTCGAGCAAGCTTTCCTTCAACTTCCGGGAAGCATCGGAACTTCTCAGATTCAAGCCATTGATGAATGCTTCTCATTCATCCAGAACAACCAGGAGCAACATCCTTTCCTTGTGGAACTGGGTTACGAATTCCCACAACAACTCGGACTCTCCTTATGCAATTCTGAATATGTCGGCCTTCCGGGCCTGCACCTTTCTGGCTCCGGCATGAGCCTTAATGAAAGAATCAACGAGCATCTCAAAGGAATATATAGAATGCTCGGGTAAATAGAATACCACATCCGGGCTCCCCTTGTGATAGTCTCTCCGAATTTGTTTAGCAAAACTGATTCGATCTCGTGGGGAGCTAAATCGTTCCCCTTTACCGCTATTGTATAGGTGGTAATATGCTCATGAGGATCCAAAGTTCCATCATATTTCGGCACATCAGGCATTTTAAACCGCTTCGGGATCAATTCTGGTATCGCGCTTGATTTGTACGGCAATTGAGTATATTTCTTTGAGTTCAGTCCTTTCAGCACCGATGGTGCAATCGGGATTTGGTCCATGCGGGTGTTCACTTTCTTCATAAACCGTATGAGTTCTCTTTTGAAGGGATCGCTCTCGTTGTTGTGTCCGGATCCATTCCCCTCGGCCCCATCGAAGCCGACCTCGTCCCTCGGGGTACTGTTGTTGACCCTCTGTGTTGTTCTATTTGCGGGAGCACTGGGAGGAACCGGACCTCGCCCATTCACGTTATTGGAAGCACCCGATAACACTTGCTTTAGTTCTGTCATAACCTTATCATGTCGTGTGAGATGGCCTAGAATGACCTCATGTTGCTCATGCGGGACCCTTACCGCTTCAACAACATGCTCCTCTTCAGCATCATCAGGAGTTGCCTCCCGAACATGTCGCGGGTACTGCCTGTCGTGGACCGGCATGGCATCGTTCCCTTTATTGAGTGTATCACTGATTGAATCCTCGTGCTGAGGCTAGTCTCCTTGGGCCTCAAGATTAGGTGTGTTGTTTACACCATTATCTGTCATTTTCTGTGATTTTTTGCTAAGAACAAATAATCAAAACATATTAGTAAAAGAGGCAACGACCAACTTAATTACACGACTGTCTAGGCCCCACGGAGGGCGCCAAACTATTTACCCGTAAAACGGTACAGTTGAATTTATACGTGGTTTCTAGACAAGTGAACTAATTTGATCCTGAGATAATAGAAGAATTAGATAAATATGCAATACTTACCCTTGATATGGAGATGAAATAGCAGAAACAGTAGTTTCGGGAGCAGGACTTCCGGGCACAACAACAATGAAATCAAAAAGCAAGAAGATAAAATTATATTAAGCTTTGAATAGAGTGTAGCGTAAGTTTGCCAGAAAATTCATGTCCTTTACATTGATAATAAAGCTCACTATTTATAGCTGCACATAGGGAACAAGGTCCTAGGATCAAACCCTTCTTTAATGTCAATTATGAAGGCCATTGAAGAATGTGTAACGGCAGGCATGAATGTCAAATTCTTTTTAACGGATAGTGTACTAAATGCTGTAGAATATTCTTCACTAAATGCTACTGGGCGGCAGGCATCTATTTCATCTTTATGAGTACCATTCTTTCCGATAATAGACGGAATAGTTGCCTTCGATTTCAGTTATCCTCTGTCTTTGGCTCCACGTGTCACTTCCTTATGTAATTATTTAATATAACATATTTCACCATATACAAAAACATGATTTCCAAAGCAAAGATGCCACAACCAATTATCCCAGGTGAACGATGAAGACTTTCAAATTGGTGGAACAATCCAAGAGCTCCATTGCATGATGAGGGTATAATCTTATACTCCCTAAGCAATGGTTACTTTCCATTTATTTACTCAATTACTATAACAATAGATTAATACTTTGGAATAACCTCATGACTATGGCTAATTGGAAATTTGGGAAGGAAAATATATTACTTGAAGGCATTCAAAGAGCTCTTCAAGGAAACATAGCTATTTCTTAGTATTAAATCTCGATAAAGACTCACCGAAGATTTAAGTGAAACACTCAAACAAGAAGAGGCATGTAGGAGATCCAAATCTAGAATAAATTGGTATAGTGAGGTTGATGCTTAATACAAAGTTCTTCCACCTATCAAGTATCAACCATACAAATTAAAGAAGGAAAAATAGGATATTAGGTCTACAAGATGAGGTTGGTAATAGGCAATAAGATCAAAACGAAATAAGAAAAGAATAGTAAATCATTCTTCCTTAAACTTTATACAACAAAAACGAATTACTCAGTATCTGAAAAACAATATAGCGAATGTCAACATCATTGATTCTAATGAGTTTGATACTTTAACTCAAGTTGTCTGCGGAAAAAGAAACTTGGAATGCCATTAACACATCCGGATACAAATATATCAATTGGAAATCACAAACTGGTAAATTGCTATCTTTGAATATTACAATGTTTGTAGTCCTATAGACAAAATATGATGTAAACATAATTTGTATTATATGATCATAATCCATAGAGGCATTAATACAAATAGAAGAAGAGCATTGCTGCTATAACGTGCTTCACCAAAGCAAGAAGACTAAAGTTGACCAGATATCCACAAACCATTTCTTGAAAAAACCTAGGATCACTGTTAAGCAAGATTACTGCAACACTAGGGGTATGCACCTTATACAGATATTTTATTAATTTAGCCTGAAACAAAGTTACACACAAAGCAGAGAATCAACATATATATTAAGTCAAGACATAAGTAGCTAATTTTATCCATTTGATCATGTATCCTTCACAGTTTATTCAGCTGATACAAGATAGTAAACATACATAGGTGCACAAACTGAAGAAACATTTATTACAATCGAACTACCACACAACTTTGCTTGAAAGGAAACTGAGACCAAGCATCTTAATCGAGCACAGGAGTGAATATCCTCAGTCAAGACTTGACAATGTAGTTTTGGCGGCTGATGGGATTCATGACCACAGGGGGACCAGCAGTTCGAGGCCATGCCTGGAATTTTTTGTCCGTCTCTTTCCACCATTCGTTGTTTGCAACAGTATGTGGAGTAGTACCTGTATGAAATGACATGAATGTCTGTTAGCACGACCAAAGTCAAAATCAAAGTAAAAGAATAGCCCGTACTTGCCTCCAAACAGCTTCTTGTCTGCAATAGCAACGTCACAAACATATGCAATTGCAAATGATCCCAACACTGAACCAATAATGTACTTTGTTGCCATTGTTGAACTTCAACAACTGAAAGATAACCTAAAACCCGGTAAGACAGAAATTTGAGTGCTTTAGGAAAGGAAAGGCCTTGAGCCCTTGATGCTCCACTTCAAAAGCAAATAGAACTCATGACTTTATCCAGCTGATTTTAGTGCAGCAAAAGAACTATTAACAGTAGCATGGTAATAAAACACTGTCGCCACATTAGATTTAAAGAAGTTACAAATCATAAGATCATAATATCATGAGCTTCATAATGTGGTGAAGCATTTATGTTAAAGGTTATTGCAAGGAACACATGAATAAATTTTGAGGAGTTCAGTATGATTTGCGACCTACCATATGAAATACCACGAATTAGGACAGAACACTAACGAGTAGTTGTAGCTGTATATATGACCTAAAATCTTTATTTTTAGTTCTTAGTTCAAGAGTACATTGTTTGGCTCAAGAAAAGGGAGCTGACTAGTAGCCGGGTGGTATAACTGTTGTTTTTACTTCTCCTGAAAAGATACTCATGCTTCCTGTCATGTGTTTGGTACAACTGACAGGGAAGTAAGAGACATGTATTTCCTCTTTTCCACCTAAATTAATGAAGGCGTCGCATACCCCTGATATCTTACCTAACCAAGTAAGGGAAATAGCCGTTGTCCCCTCCTAATACCCCTATTTTCCACCGCAACAAACAAAGTGTAAGTTTTGCTATCAGAACAAAGAATGATGCTCATTCCAGACAGTTAACTCGTCCACGTACAATACATTTGTGGTTGACCCTGGGAGAACAAAAGTAACAAAAAGAAATTCCAATATCAAAGTAGCAGAAAACTTACTTAAGAATGTAAACTTCACATCAAGACCAAGAGCTTTCACGTTCTTTTTCCATTTCATTATTCAAATGGCATAAGAACTCTAGGAGTTCATTGCTTATCATAAAGGATTCACCTTATTCTATCAACTAAACAGTTTCAAATTTTATTGCAATAACTTAAGTTTTTCCTCTTTTTTAGTTCAAAGGCCGTTGTTCAAAACAGAAAAGTGGGACATATATGTCGTCCAACCAAATCAATAGTTACTCAATGAAGAGAATTCCTTTTAGATCTATATTTCCAATCTATATCAAGCTTCTGTAAGCAAGTACAATTAGAAATATTCCCCCAGAACATATTTTTCAAAAATTTGATAGGATACAAAACATGATGCTTTGTGCACCGGGCTGCCCGATAGGGTAGGCTGTCTACCCTAATAGCAGCCACTAATGCATTAGGATAGGTTGTCTACCCCTTCGGGTGCGCTCCTTCCCCGAACCCTATGTAACAGAACCGAGTGAACTTTAACAAATCCAACATACAAGAATATAAAGCTTCTTTCCAACCATAATACAAGGAGCTTTAGCAATTAAAAGCACACTTTTACAAAGATCTAAACAAATCATTCACTCTCCCCAATCCCGACCAAGAGTGTCGAGTTTACACGTTGGTAACGGGCGTGCTGTTTCCCCCACAACCATCAACTCGAACTACTCCGCCATCCCATTTTATGTGACGTTGTTTGGTGGCTACGGAGTTTAATAACATGTTTGGCCAAAATTCTCTAAGGCAAAAAGCACTTTAATTTTCTTTCAAAGTTGAGGTGTTTGGCCAAGCTTCTACGAAGAAAAAAAGTGATTTTGAGTAGAACCAAAAATATTTTTTGAGAAGCAGAAAAAAGTATTTCTCCCTAAAAACACTTATTTTAAAAGCGCTTTTGAGAAAAATACACTTAGAAGTAGTTTATAAAAGCTTGACCGAATATTAATTGCTGCTCAAAAGTGCTTTTCAAATTAATTATCCAACCATATACTGTTTTTCATCAAAAGTACTTTATTGAAAAGCACTTTTAAAAATACTTTTCAAAATAATCGGATTTTAGAAACTTGGCGAAATATGCTATAAGAGACTTTTAAAACTTGTGGCCTAAAATATGCAATAGACATTTGTCTAATGGACAAAAGTAACAAAAAGAAATTCCAATATCAAGTAGCAGAAAACTTACTTAAGAATGTAAACTTCACATCAAGACCGAGAGCTTTCACGTTCTTTTTCCATTTCATTATTCAAATGGCATATGAACTCTAGGAATTCATTGCTTATCATAAAGGATTCACCTTATACTATCAACTAAACAGTTTCAAATTTTATTGCAAAAACTTATGTTTTTCCTCTTTTTTAGTTCAAAGGCCGTAGTTCAAAATAGAAAAGTGGGACATATATGCCGTCCAACCAAATCAATATTTACTCAATGAAGAAAATTCCTTCTAGATCTATATTTCCAATCTATATCACGCTTTTGTAAGCAAGTACAATTAGAAATATTTCCCCAAAAACCCAGAACATATTTTTCAAAATTTGATAGGATACAGAACATGATGCTTTGTGCACCGGGCTGCCCGATAGGGTAGGCTGTCTACCCTAATAGCAGCCACTAATGCTTACATTAGGGTAGGCTGTCTACCCCTTGGGGTGCGATCCTTCCCCGAACATATGTAAATGCGGGATATTTTGTGCACCGGGCTGCCCGATAGGCTACAGAACCGAGTGAACTTTAACAAATCCAACATACAACAATAAAGCTTCTTTCCAACTATAATACAAGGAGCTTTAGCAATTTAAAGCACACTTTTACAAAGATATAAGCAAATCATTCAGTCTCCCCAATCCCGACCGAGAGTGTCGAGTTTACACGTTGGTAACGGGCGTGCTGTTGCCCCCACAACCATCAACTCGAACTACTCCGCCATCCCATTTTATGTGACGTTGTTTGGTGGCTACGGAGTTTAATAGCATGTTTGGCCAAGCTTCTCTAAGGCAAAAAACACTTTAATTTTCTCTCAAAGTTGAGGTGTTTGGCCAAGCTTCTACGAGGAAAAGAAGTAATTTTGAGTAGAAGCAAAAACACTTTTTAAGAAGCAAAAAATAATAATTTTTCCCTAAAAACACTTATTTTAAAAGCGCTTTTGAGAAAAATACACTTAAAAGTAGTTTATAAAAGATTGACCGAACATTAATTGTTGTTTAAAAGTATTTTTTAAATTAATTAGTCAACCACAAACTACTTTCGCCAAAAGTACTTTATTGAAAAACACTTTTAAAAAAATATATATTTTTCAAAATAAGGGAATTTTAGAAACTTGGCGAAATATGCTAGGAGAGACTTTTAAAACCTGTGGCCTAAAATATGCAATAGACATTTGTGTAATTATAAATCATTTCATTAAGGTTAAAATAGTAAGTTTAAGGTTAAGCTATTTTCAAATATAGAAATGTCATTCTTCTCCGAACAAACTAAGAAAAAAATACGGTACATAAATTGGGACACGGGAATTATATAAACCCACTTAATTTAAAAAAAAAATTATTTATACTAAGCTGGCACCAGTCGATTTAAATTTGAAAGCCTAAATCCGACTATACAGTCACAGCAAGGTTAATTCCGTAACATTTTAGTCATTTCTCTTTCTCAGATATACATAGAGCAAGAACCAATACCCTAATAGTAAAACCCATGTTAAGAACTTTAAAAAAAAAAAAAAAAAAAAAAAAAAAAAAAAAAAAAAAAAAAAAAAAAAAAAAAAAAAAGGAAGCGGGAGCTTACCACGATGAGCTGCTGAGCAGAGATGTGGAATCGAGGATACGGTAATGAAATGTTCTTTGCTAGAACGCTCTAGAAATTCAAAAGGGGTTTAGTGCTAAATAACGACGCCGTTTGACTGTTGTCTGCGAACTTTTCACAGTAGAATAGAGAGAATGACAAAAATAATCTCTATGTTACGATAAGTTTAATCATTTACTAATGAATATACAAGTTTTTGAAAATTGCATAAATATTATTATTAAATAATGTATTTGTGTTATAAAATACACATTAAATAAAAAAAGGTATAAGTTCCTAGAATGATAATGTTGATTTATTTAGGTAACTCAATATAGGAAGAAATTTTGCCCACGATAAGTAGTCCGATGTCTTATTTTGATTTCTCAGAATCTTTGTGGGAATATTTATGAAAAATATTGTTATTTTTATGACCTAATAATATTAAAAGATTATCTATTTATATTTTCAAAAAATATTGAAATTGTAATTTAGAAAATATTTAATTAGTGACAATCATAACTCAAAAAATGATATTTACAATAGATAATAAGAGAGAAGGTGAAACTTAAGAACATAATTAAGAAATTAATCTAAAAAAATAACTGTAAATTTTGTAATAAAATCATAAAAGAGTTATTCTATTTCTAATTTTAACGAACTTAAATTATAATTTATAATAAAATATAATATAATATAATTTAATTATAGATACATTATCTAAGTAAAACGAATATAATATTATTCAAAAATATTACATAGAGAGAGGGATTGAAAATGTCAGTGGAAAAATAGATAAGATGTTGCATATGACAAGAGGGGAAGAATGTTTTATTTTCAAAGTTAGAGGATAATTTTAATTTTTAAAGCAAATTTGAGGAGTGTAAATCTCTTTAGCTCTTTTATATTTTGAAATCTTTATTTTGTATTCTTTTCCATTTTTATTGGACAGGTTCTTCTTGCTTTAATGCTTATTGTATTTTCCTTCTAAATAATGAAACTTATTCGGTAAAATGTGTTTTAAAACTACTAACTTAGACCGAATATCTACTTTCTTAGATGTTGATATGGGCCGGTTGTATTGTTTAGTTTTGAGGATTTTTGAGGTTATTTTGTGTTTCCATTAAAAGAAATATATTATGTGGTATTAAAGCTATGGCACATAGTTCAACTAACGAAATGATTTACATAAGGTAAAATTCTACTTGAAATAAGAAAAAATTTAATAACCAAAATTTTAGTTGATTTCAAATCCCTAAATATTAGGAAAACAATAATTAAATGTCTATTTTATCCGATATGAACTCTATTTTAAAGGGGTAAAAAAGACGAACAATATTTCGCTAAGGCATTCGTGTTTTTAATATAGTATAGATTATTGAACAATTTTATAGTCTTATAAAGTGCTCATTTTTCTCCTTTGTCAAATATTTAACATATTTTGATTGTTAGATTTAACGAACATCGTGAAAAAGAAAAGATCTATATTGAAACTCACATTTAGATATGTATTTTCTTCTATTTTTAGTGTTTGGTGTAATTATTGGACATGCCAATATTATAAGGTTTACTCCCTTCGTTCAATTTATTTGATGCAATTCGAATTTCGAGAGTCAAACTTATCAATTTTAACCGTAAATTCCCCATTATTGAAAAGCCAAAAAGAAGGGAAAATAAAATGGAAATAGAAAAGGAAAGAAAGAACTCTATAGCCTCGGATTTGCCACAGTCAATGGAGATATAATAATAAGTTCTTCAACTTCAATTTTTTTTTTTCGTGTTCTTTTTTCTTCTTATTCCAGTCATGTATCGAGCAGGATTACGAATTACTATTAATTGAAGTTAGTATTGACGATGTGGAAAAAAAGAGAGAAGAAGATTAAAAAACTACGCTTAATACATAATTAGTACTCGGTATGTTTATCTCAATTCATATGATACTCTTTTTCCGTAAACATAAATTTTTTGATGCATAACAGTTTTTGTACAACTTTTAAGATTTACAAGGATTCATGTTCATTAAACTATTAAAATTCCAAATACTGAGATAATGTTCTCTTTATAAAACTAATTTTTAACCCCATTACATTAACACTCTATTTTACTATCTCTAATATAATATATTTTTAAATTTTATGCTCAATCAAATATGATCATATGGAATTTGATGGAGTGGTATTTGGTTAAGTGTCATCCTTTGAAGGTGTATGACAATTGACAAACATGTTGGTTTATAGTGAATTTTGAAGAGAAAAGAAAAGATTGGAAATGGAGGAGAATAAAAAGGAGGAACACGAAGCAAAATAAAATGAACGGAAAAGGTCCAATAATATCCTTAAACTATTGGATATAGCTCACTTTTATCCTCCGTTAGTAAACTGGGCCAGAAATATCCCCACGTTAGCAAATTGGGCCACTAATGCCATCAACCTAACGGTTAAACACACAAGCCTTCTCATCAGCATTATTTAGGTGATATGGCATCCACATAAGCTGACATGGCATCCACATAAGCGGATCCACATATCCAAATAAGCGGACCTATGTGGATCCGCTTATGTGGATGTCATGTCAGCTAAATAATGCTGATGAGAAGGCTTGTGTGTTTAGCCGTTAGGTTGAAGGCATTAGTGGCCTAATTTGATAACGTGGGGATATTTCTGGCCCAGTTTACTAACGGAGGACAAAAGTGAGCTATATCCAATAGTTTAGGGATATTATTGGACCTTTTCCGTAAAATGAATACTGAGTGAAGAAATTGACTGTTAGAAAATCTAGGTTGTGCTAATTCTTGTTTGACTTTGTTTCTGCCAATTGAAATAGGGGAGTCTAAGTTACATATATTTACTTAGTATAACATGTTAAATTACACGGTAGGTGTAAAAAAATATTATGGTGTAGAAAGAGCATTATGTTGTCTGCGTCTATAATTTAAATCCTGAAATAAGTACATAAATACTCAAGAGAATATATGATCTCTAGTAAACATTTAACATAAAACAAGAATAGAGCAATGCACTTTAAAGGTGTGAATTTATATTCCCTTGGTGGAGTTCCCACAAATAGATTCCTAATACATACTGCAACTCTTCAACCCCCNCTCTATGTTCCCTTTCGACGTGTTCCACAAGGGATACAGGATCGCGAAAACCTTTACTACATCTGGGGCAGACATCAACTGTCAAGTTCATGACACCATTCTTTTCATGGATTTTCTGCACATGACTTATGAGAGCTGCGACTGAAGAGAATTTTAGAGAGCATTGCGGGCATTGCTCAACTTGGCCGCTACCACTCCCATTACGGTTTGTGGCACTGCTTCCCTCCTTTCCCATCTGCAGCGTCTGACTAAATTCGCTGCTCAATTTTGACATTCCAGCTTCAGCCGCCTTGAATAGGTTTGTGGCCCAACTTGAGGATGATGTGGCCGAAGGTTTCTTGGGCTCGTCTTTTCTATTGCCAGTCCGAAAGTTCATAAACTGGAATGCTGATTCTGGTTTCTTACGTCCAGGACACTTGTGATCAGGTCCAAATCGATGCTTCAAACAATGATCTATAGTACACTCCCGACATTTGATTGTGTTTGAGAATGTCAAGATCTCTCTGCAGCCAGGTACAGGACATTTTCTTTTCTTTGTGGCTTTTTCATAGTTTGATGGATCACACTCAGTATTTACATGTGATTCCCAAGTGATATTCGGGTCTTCATCAGGAATAAGGCGTACTCCTTTTGCACAGAGTGGGCAAACGACCACGGTAACATCATTCTTGTTTGCTTTTGGACAGTGGTGTCTATTATAGCTCCGATGATCTAGACAAAACACCTGCAAAGTTTTACAACCCACATTAAGCATCTTCTAGGTGTACGAAGACTATTAAAGAAAGCAACAGAAGGTACAAAAAGGATATTCAAGGATCAAAATATGGTAATTTGAAGTCATATATCTCCGGCTTAACTAAGAAAACAAAGAAAAGCAAACAAAACGTGATCCACCATGAACTGTGTAAGACCAAGTGAATGAAACCTAAAGGCAAATGTACACGAACGCCAAGGAGGACGAGGAAAAATATAATCCCTCCAGGGTTGGTTCTCTTTGTAAACTTCTACATATGTGGCGGTATCCCTACTTTTGTTCTGCTTTACAGAAAATTATAAATGCAAACCAAAAAAAGAAAGCAAAAAAAATAGATAAAACGACAGATTGAGAGCAGGAAAGATTCACACACTTTAGCAATGTGGAAACAGCCGTATATAAGAAAAGAAATCCATCATTTTGAGTTTGGTCAACTTACAGTTAGTTCCTGATAACTTTAAACTCTACACAGAAGTTTCGTCCTATACTAATACAATAACAACTATGCCTCTATCCCAAGCAAGTTGGGGTCAGCCGTATGAATCCCCATTCCCCACTATCCACGTCGATCTATTCAAGCTTATTCAGTCCAATATTCTAATAAAATGATAATCTTCCTGTACTAATGCAACACCTAAAGGGTCACAGAGGGAAAGGGCTCAAATTTTATACAAAGGTGCACAGCAAATGCAAAGATGAGGATAGAGCACAGAGAAAGATTGTCATATCACATTCATGGTGATAAAGGTACCAGGGAGTTCTACCTCTAAAACACATTTTGAATCAGAATCCCGTTTTATTTTCACACCTTCAGAAGACAGCAAATCTTACTCAAAGAAAGCTACTTACTAATAAGTAAAGGAACCTGAACTAAGATTCTTAAGACCATATAATTGATGTACATCAAATTCTTAATTTTGTTGGCTCCTTAAGGTTTTGTTCAAGGACCGGGTATCGCTAACAAATACACAGGAAAGAAACTGTGAACAACCTCACTTATTCCTTTACTGATTAAAAAAGGTTTTGTTGACGAACCACCCTCCTTTTGGACAATCACACATCCTCAAGATGTTATTATTAAAAAGATTCACACTGCTTTATCAGAAAGAAAAAAGAATAGCCAAAAGTCTCCGTTATTCAAAATTTTATGGCATATTGTATTATACGAAGAATTGACAATCACAAGCTTGTCTTCGGACGAGAACTACTTTGTCAAATTGCCAAGGGATAATTGCTGATAAAATTTCAATGTCAATTCTTCATCAGAAATATTGTTTAAT